CAGGTGTCGTCGCTTGCACAGGCGACCTTCGGGTTGCCCAGATAGTAGCCCTAGGGGTCCAAAGGACCCAATGACTGCGGTTGATGATGATGATGATACATATATATATATATATATATGTATCTATATATTACCTTAAGGACCTTACACTATGGTAATTGTGGTGTTTTCCCTATTATGGGCAATGCAGGGTTTATATCATCAACCGTAATAGCCCTAAGAGTCCAAAGGACCCACTACTTAGGTACCTGGATTTAGTATAGCAGTTATGTAGCTCAATCTTTAGGAGAGCACATGATTATTTATTCGGTATTTGGAAACTTCTTGGTAAAACCCGTAAGCCCAATAGTCTTCTTACTGTAGCGAACGCAGAAACCTTTTGTTGGGGGAACCCTCTTATGGTAACCCAATTGCAACCAGAGTCAAGTGTAGAACCCGTTTATGGTAGCCTTCTTATGGTAACCCTACTTGTAACCGTATTGTAGTAAGTATACAAGCCTTAGTAGCAAACATTTTATGGCGATCTTAGCATGGTAATCCTAGTGCGTATTGTTTGTGCTTCTTGCAGATTGGTCTTTTCGAGAAGTGATTAGCTCAGCGGCAGGTTCAAGCCAGCCTGCCTGTACGTGATAGTGGGATCTCCGCAGACAGAGTCATGCGAAGTGATCTAGCATGGCTTCTTCGACATCATTGTAATGCTTATGGGGCTTGGCTTTGTGCTCTGGAACAGCGGTTGTATTCAATGTTAAAGTCAACCCACCGCCTATGCAGTCTTCAACACCCCCCAACAATCTCCGTGTTGTCTTAGTACTGGCATGATGTTTCTGTTGCGGCTTTCACATAAATTCGTTCTTCCACTTATTCTCGCTTTAGCCAACATGAGAACGCAGTCTTTTTGCCCATATCAACCAGAATAGTTGTGCCTTACAGGTTGATACAGGTTGTTGCCGTCATTCCTGACCTGTATTTTCTACAGCCCCCCATACTCGGCAACTCTTCCGCACATCACCTTCACCATTGTGGCAGCTGAAGCTGTTAGGAAAACCATTTGTCTTGCGCGAGCTCATCGTAACAACACATACGAATCTGCATAGGACGGTTTTTGACAGTACGAAAATGATCCCCCCTGTTTGTGGCAGGCAGCAGCTCCGCATGCATCCGCTGGGGGACGTCGCAGCAACCCGCCACTCCCCAAGCCACGTCGAAACGTGCTGCGCAACCCGCTTGCCCCCCCGCAACGCAGCAACCCGCCACGCGGCAACCCGCCACGTGCTGCTACGTCTACATCCACCAGGTCGGTGTCGATGCCTCTTAAAAAACTATACCAAATTATGATATTATAGTATAGTATGCTACATGTTTTCATTCTTGAAAGACATGCAGGTTCGAGAATGACAGTGGCGGTCGGAAGTCTTGCAACTGGACTTCCGTTGTACATACGGCACTTACTGTCCGTAGACGGTGCCAGTGACTGTCACCGTAGAAGTATACTATAGGGGCCTAAATAATTACCCATTTCATTTTGGGGGTTCCTTAATTATAGTCTAATATACCCCAAAACCCCATTCTAATCATTAAGGCCCCTATATTATAGTCTTCGTTGGGCCTATTGCTCTGACTATAAAGGCAAATGCCAGAATTCAATTCTTGCAGGAAGCAGCAACCGCCAAAGCAGACCGCGGCAGTATCCACAGGTGCTTCGAGGCTCCGCGCATTGCATCTGACCGATGTGACGCTGAGGGAGTGCTTGCGTAGGTGGTTATGTGCTGCTCAAGAGGGATCCTGCTTGCTCCTTTATTAACTTGCTCTTGGAGTTTTGTGCTGCAGGGCTCTGCTAGGTTTGCAGTTTCGTCGCTGCACAGTCCTTGCGGATTCAAGCCCGGCCTGCGACGGAGTTGAGAAAGTAGGCCGTCATTCGTCTGAAGTTGCATCTTATGGTGTAGCATCTGCGTAGTTCTGCGCATGATGACAGCATGCCGCAAAACGAGTCAATCAACCCCTGACCCCAAAACTTGGATCCGGACACATTAAAACTAGCTAGCCGGCAAGGCGCATGTAGGGACGTGCGAAGTGCAATCCTCGCACCCAAGTGGAACGGACAAACCATGTCTTTTTCGCCTTTAGTCAATCACCGGGTTTCCCCCAAGCTCCTCCAGGAAGCGAAAGGAGTCACGCGACGATGACAGAGGCCCCAGGCACGCGAAAGCTCTTTTGAATGCAGCTGCGACATTTTCAATGTCCAGCAGGGTTGTATCCGTACCATGCAGAAAGAACTCTGCCTAGCGTTTTGTGGTGTCTTGTAACATCGAGAATCTTTCCAGGTGCCATTTTCTGCTGTTTGCACAATCGCATCGGACACGTATGTGATGACATGTGCTTAGGCTCGATGTGGCTCGACAGCTTACCAATGCCCCAGCCGAGAGTTCCCTCGTCTAACTTCGTAGCTGCGCGTGCATCGTGTTCCACAAATTTCCAACATTTGCTGTCGATCTGCGAAGTCCCTTGCGACCCCAAACCTGCGGTGCTTGCTCGGGTTTGCGATTTGGTAGCCAAGGCACCTCTATGCCTTCGGGGGTTAGATACCAGATGTCGAGGCTACACGGCTAGACTACGTGAAAGCCTGCAGAAGAACCGCTTAAGACGCTGAAACGGCCCCAAACATAGAAGCCCTCCTGCATGAATTCATCCTAGATCCGGCAACTTACCTTGGGTTAGTAGGGAATGGAGGAATGGGGTACAATTATAACTACTATTACTACCATTCTTCCATTCCCTACTCACCAAAGGTAAGGCAATCATAAACCCAAAGACCTTAACCTCTGAGCCGGCAGGAAAAAGTATCGGTACGTGCAGGCCGAGAATTATGCCAAGCCGCTGGGCTTCGTTTTGGGTGTATAGGGTTTTTTAGTTTAGGGGTTCAGGGCTTTGGGTTTAGGGTTTAGAGTTTGGGTTTAGGGCTCTCTTCGACTCGATGTTGGTCCAGTTTCTTTCAGGTACGTGGTTTAGAGTTAGGGCTATGTAGAAAGGCCTTTCTAAAGTTTCATTGACCAAGCATGCGGCCAACCCATGCATGAAGTTTTCCTGTGGACGTCCAACTCCCCAAGCCGTGTGTGAGATGTTAGTGAGACAGGTGGTCGCAGAGCACACAGACAATCTGGGATTGCATACTGGTCTAAGTAGAGAAGCAAAGCACAGTACTAATATATCAAGTAAACATCAAGTACGACCCATACGACGTTCTACCACCAGTCTCGGTGTCAGTATCGCCCTTCCGGGGCGTCCTAAAACTAGGCAGGCATCCTTGGTTGGAATGCCGGCATCATCCAAGACTGCAGATGCGCTCACAGCCTCGGACCCGAGCTAAAGCAACAAGGCTCACGTCCAAGCAGAAGAAGATGCTCCTGCAACATTGCCCATATCTGGCGCGCCTGGACCCTGGCTACGCTGCTTGTGCCTTCTTCTACGAAAACTTGAATGGCTTCAGATGGTTATCAGTAGGAAGAAGTCTCTAGAAATCAAAGTCAACCCCACCATCCGTTCAGCGAAGCTGTCTCATGATGAAGGACAGAGTCGGACTGGTAACTCGGAACCATTGTTGGACAGTTCTTGATTTCTGTTGGAAGCCAGCCCTGCAAAGAGTGCGCTTCTCCAATAATTCTTTCTATCCCTCGGGCTCCAGTTACCTTAATAGTAGGTTACTAACTATTACTAACCATACATTATATACCCCCGTAGCCTACCGTTTAGGTAACTGGAGCCCTAGGGTATGTTTTTAAAAACTCCAGCCAGCATGTAACACCACAGTCATGGTGGGGCTGCTTCTGGCTATGTTAAGCTCCTGCCAGGCCTCGACATTTATGAAATCCTGAACGCTGATGCCCTAAACCAGCAAACCTAAAACCCCAAGCCCGAAATCGAAATCGAGAAAGTTTGAAACCCCAAAGCCCCAAATCCGTAAATCCCACACCAAGATACCGGTCGGGCGAAAGCAGTCAAGGACTCCCCTCATGCCGATGACGCCCATGTGCCGAGGTTAGATGCTGCAGCGGCTCTGGGATGAAACCAGTACAGTCTGGGATGGCCTCCTGCAATCCTCAGATGAGTGATAAGCGTGATGCTTCAAGAGACCATGAGTGCTTCAAAGACTCATTAGACTGTGCAGCGGCCCTGATCTGAAACCAGTACAGCTTGCGAATGACCTTGCCGCGACCCCCAGCTGAATGACAAGCGTGATGCTAAAAAAGACATTGAGTCGGCCTGAAACCTCTTGTGATGATGTATTCTTGGCAATTTGCATCGTTGGATACTTCCTTTTTTGTGTATGTCACACGTTTCTCGGGCTCCTGAAGGAACATTGGCTTCCTGAGTTGTGCCATTGACCCACGCCTGCTTTGCAGGAGCCATTTCAATCTGATGTCCGAAGTGAGGTAATTACTCCAGGTACTAGGCCTCGACAGCCAGAAAATCCCCAGGCCCTCAGACTTTTCAACCGTAGACAGCCATAGGCTGTCTTCAGCACCAACCCATTGCAGGCCCCATAAATCCTAAACCCGCAAGGTCTACGCGAGCAGACGTGTCCATTTGATGCTTACCCTACGGCCTGGATCTGGGACCATGTAAAGCGCACATCGTGTTGTGTAGTTTGAATGAAGAAAATGTGAATAGGTGTGCGTGTACATGTAAACAAAATATTGTCAATGTGTGTGTGTTATATATATATATATATATCTGCATGTCTGTGAAAGTTATGGCAGCAGTCTCACCAGTGCTAGGTACTACCAGCCTTTCCGTTTCAGCGATCAACACAACCTCCGCCGGTTAATTGCGATGATGATCACGACGACGGTGTCGGGGCCTATAATGAATTACCTATACTTTTTTGGGGGGGGGTCCTTATTCTCATTATCGTATACTAGACCCCAAAACCCTATTCTTTTTATACAGGCCCCTATAGTATGTAGCTTTGCTTTGGGTTCTCAGTCGGCCACGGCCCCCGGCAGGCCGGAGCCTGCTGTCGGGAGTGGGTCTCAGCAGCATTCCTTCGTGGTGTGCCTTGGCCTCCATTTTTTGGGGTTTGAGCCTGGTGGTTCAGCCGAGGCTATAAGTTACTGCGGTCTAGAGTTCAGGGTCTATGGAGTCTATGGCGTTCACGCAAAGTCAAAGACAGGCTTGACTCAGAGATCTTAGCTGCACTTACCAAAGTTTTAGGTTGTTTTCTGATTTATTGTCCGTTTAGGGTTCTCTGCTTGAGGGTCATGATCATGGAGCTAAATTAAGACTTTGGGCTGTTGACTGTAGGATGGTTGGGACCACCTGCAGCATTGACAGGCCCCATTTTTGTCGGCCGTTCCCGCCCCAATCCGAGCCCCTTCCGTCAGCCAAGCAACATGCCAAGCGCCAAACACCCTAAACCCCAAACCCCTAAACCGAAACCCTAAGCGAGAGTGAGCGTCGAAACCGAAACCCTAAACCCCGAAAGCCCTACTTAGGACACGTGTGCTCGAAAGACCCTTTGCTCTTGCAGCATATGTGATAGAGTGAGGTGAATACAATGACATCATGCGTCTGCCGAGTTCCCGAAAACTCCGAACCGCATCGCCCTTACGTAGTCGGTGTGCGGTTGTGACAGACCCATATGCCCTGCAGAAAGAAAGAGAAAAGCATAGGCATACTTGGAGGTTCATGGGTAGTTATGCGTGGGGACTTTATAACTCCACTTATAACTGCCCTAAACCCTCAACCCTGTAGAAACCTTCAAGGAACCCTAAACTTAAACCTTTATAACTCAACTTATAACTACCCATGAATCTCGAAGTAGTGATGCTTTCATGCTCAAGGCAAGCCATACAACGTGCTCTCTACCGGCGAGAAGCACCTTGTCGCAATGTCGTTAGGGTTTAGGGTTTAGGGTCGAAAGGTTGAAGTATTGGGGGACTTGCTTCGACATCCCGGGGTTAACAAAAAAGTCCTTGTGGTCATGTCAGTGTTGGATTGGACCAGTGGAGGTTGCTGTTGGTGTCCCATAGTTTCTGAAACTCCGGTACGCCGGATTCACCCGAGATGTATAGATCATAGACACTGAGTAGATAGCTGTGATTGTAATCCCACTGTTCTTCTCCATTTGTGTCATCTAAACCCTAACCCCGTGGTTTAGGTTAAGTTAGTGGTGTTCTTCTCGCTGTGCTTGGCCTTGCTGAGTGCATGAGGATGTGTCATACGAATTGTCTAATCTAGCTATATAGCTTTGATGCTGGTTGGTCCTATATGGTTATCTCTGGATGTGTGTGTCGCTATTGTGGCTTTTTTTCAGCCGAGCTTCCGCTTCTTGTATTGCACAGTTGGGCTGGACTCCGTGCCTGCTTCGTGCGAGCATGCCAGTCGAAACCCCGAGAGTGCAAACCGTAACTCCCCAAGTACAAATCCCCAAACCCTTGTAGTGATCCACAGATACCCTTGCTATTGTAACTCCTCAATCAACGACTTATAGTCATCCATAGATACCCTTGTCATAGTAACCCCTCAATTAAAGGAGCCCTTAAAACTAGCTGGTATAGGGGCTTAAAAAATTACCAATACTGTTTTGCGGGTTCCTTAGTACCAATATAGTAGAACAGGCCGCTATATTATGGAACCCTACTATAGATCCCATATAAACAAATTTTAAGAATCCCTTTAAAGGAGCCCTATTCTAATTGCTGAGGCCCCTACATTAGGCTTTTTCGATCAGGTACCGAGCCAACCTCGCGAGAGCACTCGAGCACCGCGGGCCCACGCCTCTCGTTTTCGACGAGCCGCGCGGCAGCAGCGGCGGAGTTCGTCTAGTGTTGAGGGGTTTAGGGGTTTAGGGTTTATAGAGGATTGGGTTGTAGTAGTTTTACGGGTTTTGGGGGTTTAGAGGGTGAAATGGGTGTTTAGGTTGGGGCACCGGGCAGTGGCAATAGGCCTGGATGCAGAAAGGTTTTCGGGGTTTATATGTTTGGGGTTTAGGGTTAAGGCTATGCTTGCGGTGTGGGCCTTCTTTCGGCTAAGGTCTTGAGGTTAGAAAATTCCGGGAGTTTAGCGTTTGTTTTGCTCACTTTCCTGTGCCACGGTTGCTAGGAGAGAGTCGGTCCGTCGTATTGGCTACTTAAAGGATCATGGGACTTAGCAACTAGGGTTGTAATTAGGGTAACTATACTTATAACTACTTATAACCCCAATTAATTAAGGTACTTATAACCATACTTACTAAGTCCCATGATCCTCCAAGTAGTCGTGGTGCCTGACTCGGTTCCTATGCGAGAAACAGGCAGTCTCCCTAGGTCTGTGTCGAGACGGCCACACACACATACGTGCATGAATACGTGCGTGCCCATATCTATCATATATATATATATATATATATATATATATCCCAGCTTCTCCCGAACCCTGAGCATTGAACCGTAAACCCAAACCATACCATGCACCTTCATTGCTCGCACCGTATCACGTCTTCCGGGACCTCTTCCAAAATGCCCCATCGTCCGAATGTCAGCGCTGACGCCCACAGCCCTAAGCTCTAACACGCGGCACTCGTGTTGACCCGGAAAGCAATCCTGAAGCCCTGATGCCGGAAAGCCTTGAACCGTAAAATCATCAAACCTAGACTCTCAAAACCCCAAACCCCAACACTCTTAGCTCTAATCACTCATTATTACACTAATTCTGCAAAGCCATCAATCCATAAAGCCTGAAGACCTATCCCTGACAGCCGCAATGTCAGCCCCAAAACCCTGAAGCACCTATAAACTTTCAAATCTTGAGGCCCCAAATCCTTACCCTAAGCCTTATGGGTTCTGAAAAGGAACCCTGATACTTATACATCCCTTAAAGCGAACCCTTATAGGTATCACTTCTTTTAAAGCGAATCCTTGAAGATCCCTTTAAAGGGAACGCTTAGAGATCCCTTAAAGGAGAATGCTCAAACCTACGGGTTCTTTCCTCCAAAAGCCAAGTAACTCGGCAGGCCCCCTAAACCCTTAAACTCTAAACCCCTTAACTCGAAACCCTAAACCCCTGAAGCCCTAAACCCTAAATCCCTTAACTCGAAACCCTACACCCCTGAGCCCCTGAAGCCCTAAACCCTGCTGGTATGGCAGGTGGACCAGTGAGCTGGACCGGAGCCTTGCGAAGGCTTAGAATACGAAGGGTTCCTTTTAAGGGATCCATAAAAGGGGGGGACCTTTTAAGAGATGTATAGGGGCTCCCTCCCTTTAAGGGACCTACAGGGGGGTAGCTGGAAGGGTATAGGGCCCTAGGGATTGAGGGTTTAGGAGTGTATAGGGTTCCGTTTACAGCGGGCTTTGAGTAACTGGTAACATGTTTCCTTCCAGGGCTCTGTGTTATGATTAGTGCTATTGTTTGTCTATCGCTACTGCTGTAACTAGTACCAATGTTATCGTCATTGTAATTGTTATTGTTGTTGTTGTTGTTACTACGATTGACACGTTTATGGCTACTGTCAGTAACTGCGATTGTTCATATTGGTCGTATGAATAATGTACTTGTATTATTATGTCCATGGCACTGGCGGCTCGCTTATAGGCAGATGAATGTTTCCGACGGCAGGAAGAATGATAGTACCATAGGCCACCGGTGCTACTGTCGTTGTTGCATGCCGTTGCTCCTATGCTAAGTAACTTAGATGTTTAGTTGCACCCTTGAATCCTTTTTTTTTGCCCCCACATATGGGATTGGATTGTTCTTAATTTAGGTATCATGGGGTTTATTAATAATAAACCGTGGTCGATAGACTCATAGTCATTGGTGCTCAAGTAGTAGCTTTTTGCACACCTGTAGTCCACACAGAAAACCACAGACCCTATTAATCCCCTGGGAAAACCCAAACCCACTCGCCCTCGCCACTCCCACTCGCCCTCGCCACTCGCCCTCGCCTATCGCCTAACCCAAAACCCGGACCCAGACCCACTCGCCCTCGCCTAAGCCATAAGTTAATTCCTGCTGGATCATGTGCCTCCTGCTGCTGCTCCTCCTCGTCGATTGGACAGCGGGGGATCCCAGAATCATTTCAGGGCTTATTATAGGGTTTAGTTAAGGACGACCGATACAGGTCGAGACCGATACAGGTCTTGTAGTTAGGACGACCGATGCAGGTCGAGACCGATACAGGTCTGTAATTTTAGGGTCTAGGTCTAGGGTAGGAATTTAATTTATTAGATTGGAGACGACCGATGCAGGTCGAGACCGATACAGGTCTTACGTAGCTTCGGGTCTAGGTCTAGGTATTTGACGACCGATGCAGGTCGAGACCGATACAGGTCTTAGGCTTAGGTCGGTTTGGGGTCTAGGTAACCTGAGGACCGATGCAGGTCGAGACCGATACAGGTCTTAGGTAGGCTTGGGGCCTAGATTTAGGGTTTAGGGGTTTAGGGTTTAGTAAATTTAATAATAATAATAATAATAATAATAGGGGGTTGAGGGTTTAGGCTCGGGTTACTTCCGGTCTAGGCCAGGTAGTGCTTAGCGCCTCAGATGTAGTCTGGGCTTTAGCTGTTCAGGGTTTTTGGGCAGGGCTTGGCTTTGGGCTTCACGGTAGCGTTTGGGGTAACCTGTGCTGTGGCTTAGCGCTCATAACGCCTAAACTTTAAGTTTTTACCCTGAACCCTAAACCCCTAAAACCTGAAACCATGAACCTTAAATCCCCTGAACCCTTTAAAACCCCTAAACCTAAAACCCCGAACCCTAAATCCCTGAAACTTAAACCTGTGTCGACCTGCGCCGTGGGTTATTAGACTACTCCACCTCCCTGGCCCTAAGCCCCTAAGGGCTTAAGCACCTAGGTTTCGGGTCAGGGATCTTTCGGAGCCTTACCCCCAATTCAGAATAGGTTTTTAAAGGGCAGGGGTGATTTTGGTAGGATTATTCGGGTGTGGTTTTATTTAATTATTCAGATAATCAACAAGGGTGAAGGATTAATCACGGCCAAAACCCCTTGCCCGACACAGGGTCAGGGCCTCAGCTCTGTGCTCTCGCCCTCGTTGGGTCAATTTGCTTGGGTTTTCCATTTCAGACCTTGAGTCTTTGAAATTACGAGGTTGATCTTTGAGCCGTAGAATCACGACTCGACCATGGGAAGCCTTTTCAATCAATAATAAATTAGGGGTCCTCTCGCCTATCGTCCTCGTACCGACTTGTTGACAACTTCGTAAACTCATCAACGATGACACGCGAGCCTCCAACTAAACCCTGATTCAGGTGAAAAGCTGCAGATGGCTTTGCGCTTCTGGGCTTGGAGCCCAAAGCCTTGCGAAGTGGTGTGTCGCCTTGCTCTACCAGCCACACCTGACTGCCCAGGTCAAACTGCGCACTGGTGGGCTTGGAGCCCAGTCGCATCACTTTTGACTTACCCGCTTTTGGGGAGTGTCTGCAGCTGGAAGTGGAACTATCTGACTTTGACACGAGGCCTTGGCCATTGTTGCGACGCCGTCACCGTCCTCGCCCGAACGTGCGGCTGACACAATTGCTAAGTTGGTTTCTGCATGCCCAGGCACTGACTGTATCACCGTCGCTTGCAAGTCATTGCCTGTCGGTTGCATTGCAAGTTTGGCTTGAGCTTGACATCATTCATCCGTCGGTGTTTTCAGTTCAAGAGTGACAGGGCCCTCGACATGCCAGCCATGTGCAATGACATTTAATAGTGTTCACTACTAAGACTATACACGACACGAGTCACATGCTTTGACAGCTGGCAGGGCTTGGCTGGGCTTAGCCGCTTTAACCAAGGCTTAGCTTCGACTTAGGCTTAAACGTCAATCTTTAGGATTGCTTAAGGCTCAGCTTAGGCTTTGCGGCTTAGCTTGGCTGATAGGGTTGAGTTTTGGCCCTTTTAAATTCCCATGGCGTCTTCGTCCGCCTCTGCGCCCTCGACGGGCCAGTTGCCCCCGGCCTTCCAGGCGGCACACAGCCGACTGAGGGAGGTTTTGCTCGCCCTGGACTTGATCGTAATGGCTTGGGGGGCCGAGGCGTGGTATGACAACGGCAGAGGCCACCAGGATGCATGCAGGACTTATTGACCTAAGACAGTTGGGTCGTTAAATTATAATATTATTATAACGACAAATTAAATTTTCAAGTCGTTGGAATAACCCAGGTGATGGCTTCTATGGCAGGGACGGCATGGTGGGGAGGCTCAAGAGCTGGTACCCTAGAAGCGTCCACGTCACCGTGGACGTCCGCGCGCCCTCGCTTTGGCCGAGGGACGAGGCCCGCTCCTGACCTGCATTGCAGTAATCTTTGGGCTTTACAGGGTTTAGGGCTTAGACAGGGCTTAGCCGCTTGAAGAGGAATCCTGAACTTAGGAGACGGCGATACGCCCACGCAGATCCTCGACACGGAGAATGGGCGACGGACGCTGCGTTACTGCCTTGCGCAGCTCATCAGCATGGTGCTGCCTGAGTCCTGCAGGCAGGTTTCTGTGCTCTTCCAGGTCATCTGCAACTTGGCTTTGTTAAAACAGTTATTAAATGTTATTATTATATTCATGAGTAACCCTAGCCATGAACCTTAAACCCGGGGACCCTGTTCCCTAAACCAGTAAGGTTCCGCTGGGAGGCACAGGTCCGCGTCCATCGCCCTCGCCCTCGCGTGCATGTTCGATCTGCGGCTTTATCTGCCTAGCCGGGAAGGACTTATGTCCGACCCGGAGGTTCCGGCGAGGCTCTCGGCAACCAGCCGGTTGTGCAAAATGTGCCAGGAGGCTTTCAAGGACGTTTGCAGCGGCTTCTTCTGGTACTTTCCAGTGCCGCCTCCGCCCACGCCCTCGCCTTCGCCCCCGGCGCCTTCGCCCCCGGCTGCCTCTGCGTCTGAGCCGCCCTCGGCCCAAGAGCTCGCTTCTCATCTGCATTTAATAATAAGTAATTTTTTGATCTAAATAATAATAAGGACCCATTGCCTCGTTGTAATGGTTTTGCTCTTAAGGTCAAGAGGAGCGTCACCACAGCAGCTCCATGGGTCGTGGAAACCCTGACGGAGCTGAAGGTGGACTCCAAGACGTGGAGCGCTGCTTGTTTGCATCGGACCCTTAAGTAAACTACCCTAACCCTACTCTGTTTCTCTCAAATCCTCAACCCTAAACTCAAACTACTAAAACCCTGATCAGGTCGTGGCATCCCTCATCGCCCTCGGCCCCGATGGCTTGAGCAAATTGGGGGAAATAAATACGATCGCTCTGCAGCAAGCTCGACTGTATCAGTCGTGGGCCTGGGCGTCGCAAAAGCAGAAGGCCCGGCTTTCTTTTCAACTTTTATTTCTCATAATCAGAAGCCTAGGCTCTAAGTTTTTGCGTCCTCGACCTCGATCTCGCCTGAAGGATTCTGCGTGGAGGAATCCTTCTGCAATCCTGACGTGGCACTGCCGGACCGCGATGAACGAGGTCGGCAACGAGCGCGACTCGGCGGCACCATTAATAAATTAAATTAACCCCGGTCCATTGTAGCCACTTAATTTATAACATTCAAAATATTTAAACAACCTGGACCTCTAGCCTAAGGAACCCGAATGTCCAGGAGACAGCCACACACGGCCTCGCCCTCGTCCCGGCGGCGCTCCCGCTCCCGCTCCCGGTCCCGCCGCCCGCGACCGCGATCCACACCCCATGCCATCTCCTCAGCCTCCGAGTCCTCGTGATGCCACTGCGGCCTCGTCGACAATGTCAATGTCGATGATGTCGTATTCTCTGGTGCTCGTGGACGATGACGACCTTGATCCGCCCTCGTACTACGAGCCACCTGGCGGAGACGACGATGATGAGGATTTCGAGGTGGTTAAGCCACCGGCATGATAGGATGCCCAGTAGTCTTAGTAGTAGTACCATTAAATTAAATCCTAGGTAAATTTACCCACTACCTTCGAAACGGAGCCCTTGTTGAATTTTATTCCTAGGTTACTGGGCATCCTATAAGTTGCCGGTTCGAAATTGCCGGGAACAGTTCCTCTGGCAGCTCTTCCGTTGTGATTTCAGGGCCAGTCTTTTTGTGTTAAATTATAACTTAGATTAAGACAAAGAGCTCAGTGTCCTGTAGTTTTCATTCGCCCCCGACAAGACATCTAGTCTTAATCGCCCTCGACCTCACGACGGAAGTTCAACAGCTGTCGGCTGAACCTGTCTACTACCG